GAGCATTGGCCCCAAACTTTATAACCATGCACATCAAGAAGTATCACATTTGGTCGTTCCGGCACTCTCTGCGCCCCCTACCTTGTTTGGGTCCCTTTTATGGGGTAAAAAAACGAGTGCATCTGTCAACTCCTGGAGCATGTTAACTCTTGTATGTTGGGATCTGACAGCCACTGGCTGTGAATTTTCTCACCATAACGACCAAATGAAAATGTCAGCAATGAATCTTTCTGCTAAGTGCCAGATCTTATCTTTTTCATATGTACCATTTCCCTTTTACCGGATACAGAATGTTAGCATTTTGCATAACTCCAGCAAGGGTCTTATTTCTCATGGTATAACATGGTAGCTCACGGTGAACAGTCCTTTCAAGAATGGGCAAGTATTGGGTGTGTTAGAAGTAGAACCACAGGCGATCTTTACCAGACAGACGCTCTGGTGTCATACGTATCTGGAGGTTGACAACCCACTAGTCTAAGGAGTCCATGCAGGAAGAATTTTTGACTTTTTACCCCAGTTCTTTGGGCTGAGTGAGGCTTCATCTGAGGGAAGTCGGCGAAGGAGATTGCTGTCCACCTTCAGCCTTTCAACTTGAGTTCTTTGATCTGATGAGAAGCAGGCTGAACAGAACTAATTTATTCCTCCCCTTGACCTTCCCGATTGTAGAATTTCTATAAGCATTTGCTTACACTAATTCATCCATAGAAAAACTGTCTTTGCGTATGTGAAAACCTTTGGCCACAAGATTCATCGGGAATGTATTTGCCTGCAGCTAGCAGCATACCCAGCTAAGGGTGTCTTAAGCAAATAATAATTTACTTTTTATACATAGCAAAAAGTCTAGAACTACACAGTCTGGTATTGGTTCAGCTGCTAATTGCTGCTCAGAGAAACCTGGGTTTTATCTCTCCGTCTTTCCACTCCATCGTCCTTGGGGTGTTTCCTCAATGTCCCTGCTCGCTGCCTGGTGGCTGCAAGACGGCTCCCACAGCGTCACACCTGGAGATATCTTTTGATGCAGGCAGAAGGGGAAATGGGAGGAAGAGTCCAAACCAGGAGCATTTGCTCTCTTTTATCAGAGAACAAACAATTCTCTCACTCCCTGTCTCCCAACCCACTCTCCACCAGCGACTTTCATCTCAAGGTTTTTTTGATTTTGGTTATTTGCCTGTGCTTTTTGACTGGAGCTGTGTCAAATGACCACTCCATCTGCTAGTGACGCTGAAGGAGGGAGTATTTAGCTTTTACGGGCCTTCAATGAAGAGGCAGACAAGGAAAACGTACCCAGTGAGCCAAGGTGCAAGGTCAATCACAATGACCCAGGAATGATAATACTCAGGATTGGCCCTGTCCTGCACCCAGAGTCGGGCACTGGTGCTGTTCTGAGGGTTTCAGAGCTGGTTCTACCCCGTCCCTAATTTCTGCCTGCCTCTCAGGGACAATGTGGATTGCGGATTCATCCTGCTCCCTTCTCAGAGGATGGCCCAAATTTCTCCAGAAAATTGCAACGTGATTCTAAATACATTCCAACGAAAGGCACAAGGGGCACAATTTTGAGTAGAAAAAGGGAAATATTGCTTTCTGTATTAAAGTTTTGGTGTCAGAATTGGGGAGTCAGTTAAAAACTGGGAGAAGGAATGTCCGCCCGTCTGTGAGCTGCGTTAACTCGTCATCTCGCCAACACAATTCGCTGTTGTTTCTCCTTCCGCGGCAGAACGTCTATGCAACACGTTAGGGCAGGGCGGCGTCTGCGGCTCAGAGGAGTAGGGCGCCAGTCCCATATGCTGGAGGTGGCGGGTTCAAAGCCAGCCCTGGCCAAAAACTGCTTAGAAAAACAAAAAACCAAAATTCCTGCCCTGAAGGGTGCATGTGGGGAAGGCCCGCCCCTAAAGTTTCACCCTCGTGTACCGCGTCATTCCCTAAGAGTCTTCTCCACTCATGCTGCAAAGACACGCAATGCATCTTGCAGTGAAATGACAAATACTTCGTGCTCCTCCGCGGCTTGAGGCAGGCAGCTGCCGAGGAAAGGTAGCTGGCAGGATTCCCAGAGACAGGGCTTGGGCCACGGGCTGAGCCGAGAGGGGTTGCCATCTCATTATTTCATTGTCTTGTGGTTGCCAGTGCACTTGCTGACACGCAGAATCAAAGTAAAAATGACTGCTGTCAGGGAAGCGATACTAATGGTGGTGACTCTGTTTGGTCCTTCAACGTCTTCTAGGGACAAGCCCCCCGTTTCCAGCTGCCTTAACCCCTCGAGGAGGCATCTGGAGTTTGTTCCCCAAACCGGGGATGTGGGATGGTTTGTTGCAATAACGGTTTGAGGGCCGGATAAATTATTCACTGTCATTCGAGGGAGGAGGAGGAAAGTGTGTTCAAAAGTCTCACCATATTATGCTAGCAGGGAGAAAAAAAATAAAAAAGGAAAGCTTAAAAGCCAGAAAAACAAAATACTCTCTTAGCGCTTTTAAAAGAGAAATATACACCTTCGGGGACCCTAATGGGAAAACATCAGAGGAGTGAAAAATTCACTCATCATGACGCTTGTCAATAGGCAGCCAATTTTTGAGCTCTGGTGTTTATTAGTCCCAGTGTCCCCTCTCTATTTCTCTCTCCTCGATTTTCCTTTCATTAGGACGAGTGATTATCTGAGGACATCTGAAGTCGCTCAAGTTCATAGGGACCAAGTGAACAGAGATCAGCCAACAGCCGTCAGCGACCTGTGTCCTGCAGACCAGATCTGGGTGCCAGTGAGAGGTTTATTACATCATCCCACGTCCCCCCGGAATAACACTATGGAAGCAGAGATGGGCACACCTCCCTGTCTCAGTGTGGGAATCTGCTGGCTTGGATATTAGCAATTCCTAAAGGGGCATTGCAAACAGAGTTTATTATACTGATAAACCTTTTTTTTTGCTACATATTCACATGCATGTATGTTGGGATTCTGCTGTGCTTAGTTCACCTTATTAACAACAACAACAAAAACTCTTAAAATGCACGAGTATAATAGGACAGAAGATAAAGTGAATAAAAATGGAATCAGAAGGAAGGGACTAGAAAAGGGAGCCAAATCAATAAAGCCTCAGAAAAAGTCAGCATGTATGATAAATGATCCGAAATGCAGAATCATTCCGGTGAGGTGAGTTGAAAATTTCGTTCTGAGCTTTCCAGCAGCCAAAGAAAAGAGAGAAATTCAAAATGAGTCTCGATTGTATTTTATTTATTTATTTTTTGGCCGGGGCTGGGCTTGAACCCGCCGCCTCTGGCATAGGAGGCTGGCGCCCTCCCCTTTTGAGCCACAGGCGCCGCCCCGATTCTCAATTTTAAATAATTTTAAATTAATAAATAATTTCAGCAATGGCTGAAAAGGAGCAAAAAGCTCTGTGCTATTGTGAAATGTGAGAGAATTTTTTTCCATTCCCGTAAGTTTCACGTGATAACTATTCTCTGTCGAAAGGTATATTTCTGGTATATAAAGTCCTGAGGGGTGGTGGTAACTAGGCTCCCAAAAAACTCCACAACAAATAATAAAAACAAACCAACCCAGATTTATCCTTCTCCTTGAATTGTTACCAACTGGATGGCTACTTGGAGCCCCGCAGAGTGTAGGGAGCATCACTGAAGGGGGAGCTTTTTCCTGATAAATGTTTGTTTTTATACGTATCTTTTTTCACAGCAGACGGGTAATGTACCAATGTCGTAACAAGATTGGAGGGAGATAGAACTCACGCGTGAGCATGGAAACCCAATCGTTGTGATTATGAACTAGAAAAGGATCTTCCCATCAGTACTTCATTTAGAAAAATTAGACGGCATAAAAACGGACAGGAGGTTTTTATTTTCAAAGAATCAGGATGTTTCAGGGAGCTGAACTGGGTCACTGAAAAATGCTAAAATAGAGAACGCTCTCTGAAAGCCAAAGAGGGTCAAGCCATCTGAACGTTCCCCACGCTCGGTCAGCCCAGGAACAGACCAGCAAGCTGGGGAATGGAGTCCCATTCATCCAAAAAAAAAGAAAAAAAAAAAATGGAGACGTTGCATCTTTTATATTTACTTGGATGGATTTGGAGAACATTTCCTAAGTAAAGTATTTCAAGAAGGGAAAGGGCAGCAGCCCAGGTACTTAGTACTAATCTGAAAGGAATAGCTCAACAACTACAGGCCCAATATTTCAATTTCAATATAATTGAAACAATTATATTCAAGTTCAGCGGGAGGGGCTCCGTGTGCTTCCACCTTTTGGGTACAACGTAGGGGCACACGGCACACTTCCTGGGTGATGGGCTCAACTACAAATTGGACTTTGGACTTCACCCTGTAAATATAAATAATGTAACCTAATCATATATATTCCCATATCATCCACCTCTGCACACGCTGTAAGATGTTCAGATGACCCGGGAGTTGCTCCTGGTTGTGCTGTGGTCATTCCGTGCCTGTCAGAGCCTGGGGCTGGGGTGCCCTGCCTGCTGTGGGGTGGACAGCATGGTCTGTGGGCAGGAGGTGGGCTGATCGCTGCGCTGCAGGAGGGCCCTCTGCGCTCACAGTCCAGCCACTCCAGAGCAATTTCTTGGTTGGAGAAATGGTGTGATCTACCGACATTCTCACGTGTGAACCTTCTAGCTGAGAGTTTGGTTCTCCTCTCACGTTGAGCCACAATCTAACAGGTGACTTAAACCTACTGCTAAGTAGCTAAGACTTGCGTGTACATGGTCCTCAGGCCTTTAACAAAAACAACCTTTGATTTTAATTATTTGCAATAGTGTGACATGGAAAGACCGAGAAAGTGAGCAAAGTTGAAGGGACAGGAGGATGAGTCACATGGGTAGAATTAGATACACACATGTGTGTGTCAGGGTGTACCTTTATACACAGATGCAGATACTACAGGGGGTCCCCAAAGTCATCCTTAAGATCTTTACATGCGGGGAAAGTGAAAAAATCGTAGCTAAATGCATCTTTATTTACTTTTGGGACACCCCGTCGATATTAAGTGATCAATCAGCAGATAAAATACTTACATGAAAAATCTATTAGATGGGTGGCGCCTGTGGCTCAGAAGGGTAGGGCGCCGGCCCCGTATGCTGGAGGTGGCGGGTTCAAACCCAGCCCCGGTCAAAAACTGCAAAAAAATATTTAAAAAAAATTTAAAAAAGACCTTTGAACTGTATTAATATAAAGGAAGAAAGTACACTCATGATTCATATATATGCATAAAACATCATCTTATTCTTGTGGGGCATATTAGAATAAAAAAATAAAGTCTTCTCTCTGTATGTTGGTTATGAACTTTGAGTTTCAAGGAAAAGGATCTCCAGGTAACATGAGAGGCGGGGAGGAATGGTCATTGGGGTAGAGGGGAAATAGATCTGGCAGGAATCTTTGTCATGCTCAAGGGTTTACAGGGGCCCAGGGAAAGTTTCACAGAGGCCTCACACAATAAAACAAGAACACACAGAGAGAAGGGAAGCTCAGAGTCTGAGTTCCCTTGGAAGGTGAACTACTTCCTGAGAATATTAAAAAACAAAACAAAAGACCAATCACCAGCTCTAACTCCGACCTATCGACTTCTGATTGGTTTATATCCACATTTGCATTCTGCTCTATGATACTTCATCATCAAGGTAAGGTAGGCAGCCTTTTGTATTTCTGAGGCTACAATTTGTACATCTCCTGAGCTAACTGACAAGTATAAGCTTAGGTACCTAAGAACAGGCACCTCCATTCAGCATCAGATCTTAACTTGACTGTCAGACACTGTCCTGCCTCCGGGGGATGCAGCCTGGGGACTTGGGAAGGTCCTGGGTGGAGCTAAGCAGATCACAGAAAGGAACCCCAATTAAGACATGGCTCTGGATGTCTCTTGCTATGGCAATTTTCTGGGGCTTGCATTTTTACTAATCTGTTTTGAAGGTCAACCTACTCCCAGGCAGTTCTTTTTATAGACTTTCTTTTCTTCCACTCCCAATATATTATCGTTTGTTAAGTATCATCATTGAACGTCCTTCCAGCAGGCACCATCGAAGGCTTTTCAGCTTCCAGGGATCATGTTATGACTTTTAATTCTTCACTGGTTTTGCTTTAAATTGTGGGCATCCTTGTAATGAGTTTTCTTCTTTTGACCCACAAAGAAAATTCTGATATAATTTGCTGAACTCTGATCCCATTTACTTAAAACTTTAGTCATGAAAGGACAGGTGTTATACTTGTCACTTTTTCAATCTTGGAAATAGATTAGGTCAGTTGCCCTCCTTGCCCTGGAAGGTGTATGTTAATCCAAACCGTACAAAGTTTGGGTTTCAAACCACTTCCAAGGGACAAGTGGTTCAACTCTAGCATTAATTCGATTGATGGCTACATGCCTGATCAGAAGTATTTCTGTGCAGAGTTCAGGGCTGGGTAAGGTGGAGGCCAAGATGATGAAAACCTTCTCCATCTCAGACTCCACGTGAGGCGCTGGGGGGGGGGATAAAAATGATGGTAACACAATTCTTAAAAATGTTACATTTCCACAAAGAGCCTGGGATATATTTTTGATATCAAATATATTGAAGTATTAACAAGTGGCCAAGAATTTGACTTTTGCGACTTGATATCTTATTTTTTTTTGAGACAGAGTCTCACTATGCTGCTCTCAGTAGAGTGCTGTGGCATCACAGCTCACAGCAACCTCAAACACTTGGGCTTAAGTGATTCTCTTGCCTCAGCCTCCCAAGTAGCTGGGATTATAGGCACCTGCCACAATGCCCAGCTATTTTTTTTGTTGTTGTTGTAGTTGTCATTGTTGTTTAGCAGGCCCAAGGCTGGGTTCGAACCTGCCAGCCCCAGTGTATGTGGCTGGCGCCCTATCCATTGAGCTACAGGTGTCGAGCCTCGATACCTTATTAAAGGTTCTTTGTAGTGAGTTATGAGAGTTTGTGGGATATTGACTGTGGAATAAATATAAGGGCCTGAAGAATAGAAAGAACTGTATAAAAGAACTTTTATAAAAGTAAAAGAACTAGATTAAACAAGGAAGGGGTATGTGAGAATTATTCCCTTCTACCAGACTCTGGCATTGAAATAACCCCCCAAAACTCTCAACCCAACAAACACCAATTGAAACAAACATTTGCAGCTTCTATAATTTATAGAAAACCCACATTTACATAATGCCCGATTGGAAACAAACAAGAAAAAAATGTTAGGCACCTGAATTATCTTTACAGGTTAATGAGACTGCCAGACAGCAAGCGCAAAAGTGCTTTCAAGGGGGGAATTATTGAACATAATGACATTTCTTTTCATGCAGACCAAATTAATTTTTGGAAATAAGTTAGCATATACTCCCTCCTCCTCCCTTTACAAGTTTTTAAGCTACGTCGTATTTGCTCTAGAAAAACTTTTGCCCTATTTCCTATGTGCAGAAGTCCTTAAAATTCAAACATGGCTCAAAGGAGTAGAAAGAATGATGACGGCAACCAAGATAGCTGGAAAGTCTCTATCAACGACCAGTCATGAGGTCTGCACTGTCAGTAATTAGCATTCGTACTGGGGAAGAAATTACATATTAATATACTGTGTGTTCTTTTATTAGGTGGCTCATTTTTTAACAGTGACATGCCTGTGGACAGAAATGTAGTTCTTTAGAGGGATTTAAAAGGTTGGAACTATATGTGATTCACCATATTAATCATGGACTAGATCAACTAAATGCCCGTCCGGGCTTTTTGTATTCACGAAGAGTTTAGCAACACATTCTGTTCTAGAACCGTGAAAAAATAAAACCTGAATTAAAATCTAGGAGGAGACATGAAGAAGCTAAGAGAAACCAGTGTTTTGTTTTTCTCTTATTTTATTTCCCAAATGTATCTTCTGTTTCTATCACGGAGATAAAACTTCAGACCGATCTCAGCGTCATCCATCTGGCTATTCTGAGTAATTTGTTGTTATTAATTAGAGGAGAGGCAAGGATCAACCAAAACGTGTAACAGCGTTGGGAAATAATTTTAAGGACTGACTGCTATTTAGGGGGTGTTGAAAGATGTTTTCATGCTGATTCAACTCTTCTGCCCCTCTGTATTGTCTCCCGCCAGGCAGGAGGAGAAAGCTTTTGTTCCAGATTACATAACACATTCTGAGAGCAGCTGATGGTGGTCTAAGAGTGTGTAAGGCTCATCATCTTTAAATGCTAAAATGCATTTTCAGAGAATCAGAGTGTAGAAGGGCACAAGAGTCCTTAGAGTTTATCCTTTCACGGATACCAACATTGGAAATAGATTTGAAAGCGTCATTCATGCATCTCCTTTGCGGTATTGTTTAAACTAACATGAAGTGAGGCCTTCATACATGGAAATGAAATCTGAATGCATTCTGCTAATGGAAGGCAAAAGTCAGTTGCCATTTAGGTCACAGTGCGACAGCAGGGAGTCATTTTAATGAAGCCGGGCGCCCCGCTCAAAACAGTTTGGATCTCAGTGTATAAAAGAAGGTGACTTCCCAAGCAGGATTTCACTGGAGGCGAATACTATCAAGTGGGCAGCTCAAGTGTACGGTAAAAGCGCCCACTAGCAAAAGCTTGAATAAGCTTGAATCAACCAAATAGACGGTTTTAAGTATTTTATTCTACGCATGTTTGATGACTTTAAAAGCAGTACCCAGCTGCTTGCACCATGTGACCTTTGAGGGCAGAATTATGCTCACTGCAGCCCTTACAACAGTTAAAGACGTGCACCAGTTAATTAAAAGTATACGCAGAGAGGAACAATGGAGAACGTAGACTCTTCACTGCAGAAAAC